GGGAAAATGTGGTGCACGTTGGTCTTCACCCCGACATGTCTGTATGGCGCGGAGAACAGCGCACACAAGAATGGGGCTACCTAATTAATGGCCATAATGATGATACACGTAATTACACATGTCATAAGTGGATGTTTTCGCGCTGTAGTGTTTTCACACGGTGCATATGGGTTCAGGAGTGATACGTGTAGGAGTGAATGGCAGTCGAGGACATCGAGCGCGCGATTGGTTTGCAGTATATTGGATTCGCTAAGTTCTCATTAAGTTGACTGTTTTTGACTCACTAAGCAAGTGGAGTAAGTCACGGGCTGATTTATGAAAAACAGGTTGATGAAGGAATCAGTTCCATACACAAGACGTTTGGAAGTTAATTAAAGTTTCTGGGGGTGAGTGTCGGGGTCGGGTGGGGAGGGCTGTTGTGGGTGTGGAGTGGAGTGGAGAGGGCTTAAATGCCATTTTAAGCAAACCAACCCCCAGTGATTCACGTCGAAAAAGTGAATGATAACAAACAAATAATAGCTGCAAGGATGGCGGCGCTCATCTCTCCTTGAGCATCCGTGTAGGACGGATCGTTATAAAGGGTAGCGATGGCAGACGAGTTTCCTGATTGGATGTCTTCGGAGAGGCATGATGAATTGCCGATGTTTTCGATACAAACGGTAGAGGAGCGCTGAGACGTGGAGAGCTGCTGTCGCAAGTCGTCGCTAAGGGAAGTAAAGGATGTTTCCTAGTGGGCAGTGAGTGTGAAGGTGTCCCTTCTTTTCTCGCTTGACCTGCTGACCGTGTAGGATGCACGGAAGACAAAAAGTATGCCCGAAAGTATCTTCCCACGTTCTAGCGGAAGATTCATTCTCGTTCATTCTCATTTGCACATTCGGTGAGTAGCGGAGCCAGGCCCTAAATGATGGAACCAGATGAGGCAACCTTAGCTTAGGTAGGTGAAACGAATGAAGTGCGAGCATGTCGATATTGATGGCGATACGATGATCATGTGGATATGGTGATGTGGCGTGGGAGGGGGGCAGGTGGAGGGAAAGTCGAGGAGGGGAAGGTGTAGAGAAAGGAGCGGGGTGAGGACGGGTGGGGGGGCGGTGCAGGCGAGGAGGAGAGGAAGTGGAGGCGGAGAATCGTTTGTGACCGGAGGGGGAAAAGGGAGAGCGAAGGCAAGTGTGAAAGAGGGTGGGAACAACGCTCGAGTGTAATATATGAATGAACGCCGATCGTAGTAAGGAGAGTGCACACGTACCAAAGTGTCCGGCATTATGGATTGAGGAGGGCTGTAGTTCTTTTGCAATAGCGACCAGGACAGGCGGTCAAAGTCAGGTAGCCTCTGGCTGGTCGGTGCTAGAGAGAGAGAGAGAGAGAAGGGGGGGGGGGGGGGGGGGGGGGGGGGGGGGGGGGGGGGGGGGGGGGGGGGGGGGGGGGGGGGGGGGGGGGGGGGGGGGGGGGGGGGGGGGGGGGGGGAGGAGGGTACACCTCACGGGTGTAATATGCGGCGCTTGGCGTTGACTTTTCATGTTGCAGTCAGCAGGTGATTGCCATCAGCGGCCGTGTAGTGAATCGCATATGCTGGTCTTCAGTGAACCCTGTCGGTTTTGCCTGATGCATATGAGAGTCGTGTTGCATGTTTTCGGGTTCGTCTCTAGGTCGGCATATGTTCTTGTATGCACTAAATAACTTTATATGCATCATCAATGCCCGCGTGTCGTCGTATAGATGTTCTTGAATGTGTACATGTTCTCCCAGTGGTATTTGGAAGTAGTATGTGTGCGCGCGTGCGTGCGTGTCTGTCTGTGAGCCTTTGTGTGC